GCTTGCTTCCTTTCATTCTTCATTCTTCCGAGCACACCTCTGGATTCTCTAAATCCTTTTGTCTTCCCCTTGGCAGTTAGGCTCTTTAGAGGGGATCGGATTCCTTTGGCTCTGCTATTTCTTGGGAATCTCTATTACTGGCTGGATCTACTACATTGAGATATGGTTCGTTCTGTGGGTCGATATGAGCCTGTCTCCTTTATTCACAGCTAGTTCCTGCTTTGTTTCTTCTTCAAGAGGTTCCCCAAGTTTGCCCCTACCCCGACTGCATTCGAGGCAGAGGTTCTTCAGGAGATAGTGGATAAAGATGGCATCCCCGTGCTCGGTACTGATGGGTCTCGGACATTTGAGAAAATGAAATCTTGCCAGCCGTTGATTACACGTTGGTCACGTACCATTTCCACCTTATCCTTGAATACTCTGGTGGATGATCCTCGGCACTTTGTGGCACGGCCGTATGTATGCCCACCAGTGGGTGTGGCCACACTGCTTATCTATCATGGTTCCTCCCACTTGGTGTCCTTTCCTTTGTCGAAGAACATCCCTGTACGCTTTGTTGATATGCTAATAATGATCCGTCCGAGTTCATTACCAGTATGGCATGAGGAAGGCGTTGATAGTGCCGTTTATAGACCTGACCGTGTAGCATGTCAATTCGGGTTTGACCAATGTGCTCCGGGGCCAGCACCTCCTTTGTTATCATTTTTAGAGAGCTACGGGCGCTTCAGTCGCGGACTTGTACACACCATGCTTCCTATATCCGGCTCTTTGACGATGCCAGGCTTGAGCCGAGTAGGGGGTTTCACCCCCTCTTTCAGACGATATTGGTGGAAGACTATCGATACAATTATTGCATTTGTCCAGAGCAGACCGACCATATGCTTGCCTCCGTCGATCTATAAGAAGGACTCTTCTCTTCGACTACCTGAGAGCCGGAAATCTGATCACATGTACGAGAGTTTCTTTATCTCATCTGCTCCGACTAACCCTCCGGCTCGGGCGTCTGCTTCTAGTTTGGCAATTGCTTCTCCAGAACTAGTCCCTTTGAATAAGGCCTCTGGTCCTCGGACGACCCGCCTTAAGAAGATGGCTCATAAGAGGGCTTCTGATGCCAGTCCTTCCACTCCTCACCTTTCCAAAAGGCACCATCAGGTAACCGAAATTTTTGATTTGAAGTTACATTCCTTCTTGCGACTATACCTTCTTAAATGAACGCTTTTTATTTGCCCCTGTTGTGTAGGACCCTGCGGTTGTTGACGTTCTCAGTACCGTGGCTCTTGGCCATGCTGCCTCCCCTAGGCCAGACTCAGACTTGGACGACACCCTCCCCTTGTCTGCAAGACTTGTAAAGATGCGCACCCCTCGTATAGCGGTTATAGATGATGATGATGATGAGGAGGAGGAGGCTGAGTCCTCCGATCATGTATAAGTCCATCTTTTCATCGGTTTGTATTGCCACATGTATGCTTGTATGCTTGCATAAGTGCCTTGCCATGCCATGTTGCATCCTTAGCTTGTATGCCTAGGTTGCCTTGCATCTTGCATGCATGCCTTGTTCCTTGACTTGATGATAGGAATTGGGCCTTAATTTGTTTGATTGGTTTAGGCTGAGTCCTCCGATCATTTTTGTGACCTTATTCCACGCATGCGTCGTCACCACCCTACCGTAGCTGAGGAGGAGCACTATCTTGGTGACGAGGTTATTGGGGCTCACCGTTCTGATGTTGAGATTGCTGGAGGGACTGATGCCACAGAAATTGATGCCGCAGGCCATGCTTCTAGAAGCAATGTAGAGATGAGGTGCGCCTCTGGGAATGGTGTAGAGGTGGATGTACTAGAAATCTCTGAAAATCGCTCTGGCACTTATGGTGATTCTCATCCTCCGGCCCTCCTTCTTTCTTCAGGGATGACTGCTACTGTTCAGGCTTTATCAGACATTGAGATCGATCAGGTGCTCCCTATCCAGCCAAGTGACTTTGTTGATGCTAGGAGACCTTCAGTTGCCCCGGCTTTCCATAGTGATTCTCCCTCTGGTAATCTTTCTTTTTGAAGTTTATCATGTACTTCTATTTGTGAGAAATCTTTACTCAAATGACTTTACTGTTCCCTACCCCTAATAAAACTTCATTATCTTTTCTTCAGTGTTAGCTGCTACCGGGGTCCTACTTTCACCTGCCTCAGACTCTGCTCTAGTATTAGCTGCTACCGGGGTCCTGCCTTCACCTGCCTCGGACTCCACTCCGACTCTCTTTGTGACTCCTCATGGTTCTCCTTCTCAAGGGGGGACACCTGTCTTTGAGACGACTGCTAGAGGTTCTTCATCGCCAGTGCCTTCAAATATTTTGGATTTGAATCTCAGTGATTTCCACTTTGATAGTGATGCTTTTGGTCTTTCCCCTTATCGCTCCACATTCTCAGTCTCGGGACCTCTGCCGAGAGTCACCCCTCCAGGTGGTTCATCTAACCCGATAGACATTGGGGAGATTCCTGAGACTAGCAGCTTTCCGGCCCCAATTCCTCCTTCAGCTTCTGGCAATGTGTCATTTCTCCATTATTGGGTAGCTCCTGAGTTTGCTTCAGTTCTACAACTTGTGCATTCGAGTTACCCGGAGACCTTCGCTTCATTTGCTTGCCAATGTCCACTCATTCAGACTGCTCTTCTCGAGTCTTTTGCCACTATCTTATACAGCTTAGACAGGCAACAGCTGTGTGACCTTAATGGAAAAATGGTCGAGACAGCGTATCAGGGGATCTCTGACATGGACCGTCACCAAGTGGACTTATCATGGCTTCAGAAGCGCCTGGATATAGCTTCTAACGCCAGTCATCGGGTGGAACTTTTGTCTGTGCTTGCCTCTTTTCGGACCTCTATAGATGAGACAAAGTGTAGACACCCCATTTTTGACTGTCCTCAAAACTTGGACGTCACCGTTTGAACACTCGGTGATTATCCATGTTTGTGTTCATTTGGAGTTCCTTTGGCACTTCTTTTCAAAAAATCTGTTTCTCAAAACGATTTGCCGGATTTGGACTCTTTGGTTCAAGATTAAGAACCGTGACAACAAAATCGAGTCCGAGCTGTAGCGAAGGGCCCCATGCGGGCGCGTCTACACAAAGGCAACTCTTCGCGAACTTGAGTCGGGCTATGCTCGGGCCTTGGAGACTTTAGAGGCACACTCGGCTGTTTGTCCCCCGGATGTAGATGCAACGGGCAGCTTCTTCGAGGGTGTCTTTAGGAGAGATTGAGTTTTTTTTTTTATATTACTTTCTTGCCCCTTTCGATAAAAATGTTTTATCTAGGACAATGCAATGAAATGACAAAATCTTTGCTGTTTGGATATTTTCGCATTGTTTTCTCATTCTACTTGATAAAATATTTATTTCGAATGATACAATGGAAAGAACAATCATACGCACATGTTTATAAAAACTGAAATATTTTCATTAATTCTTCAACTTTCTTGACAAAAGTATAATAGATTCACTTCAAGTGATGGGATAAAACATGCACCATAGAGAAAACCAGCTTCTTCATAACGTAAGGGAAATACAACTTTTAGACAAAGTAAGAAAATGAAAATGAATTTCAACATAGATGAGTCTAACTATGGGTAGTAATGCTTGATAAACTTTGCGTTGAGCAGGCCAGTTCGGAAGCTATCTTCAACCCTTACAAGCTTGTAGTACCCGCTTGAGCTCGCCTGAACCACCCTGTAGGGCCCTTCCCATTTTGGAGAAAACTTGGGCAAAGGTTGTCCTCGCATGATTGGATCTACAATCTTCCATACTAGATCACCTTCTTCAAACTTCCTTGGTACCACAGTTTGGTTATAGGCTCGGGCGATAGACTCATGATACCTTTCCATGACTTTTGCAGCTCTGTCATGCTTTTCCTTTAATGCTTCCAATTTGGTGGTTCGAGGCTCCAATACCATCCCCGAGGCGAGAGCCATCCAAGCAGATGGTGTTTCTAACTCTATAGGTAACACTACCTCGGACCCATACACAAGGAAGTAAGGAGTTGCTTGAGTCGGCTTTCTCTTTGAAGTGCAATACGCCCATAGGGCTACTATCAACTGTTCGGACAAAGTCCTCCCAAATTCATCCATCATCTTGCTCAGAATCCTTATCAGTGTCTTGTTTGTGGCCTCCGCTTGCCCGTTCCCTTTTGGATAGTAGGGTGTAGATTTGTGATGTTTCACTTGTTAAGTCTCTAGGAGGCTCTTCACATATTTGTTTATGAAGGGAGTGCCGTTATCCGAGAGAATGGTGTTTGGTACTCCAAACCGGCAAATGATATTCTCCTTGATGAAGTTCGCGACTGCAGGCCCCGTAGCGTTCTTCCGAGGAATTACTTCAACCCACTTTGTGCTCAATTCTGTGGTTGCGAGAATCCACTTGTACCCCTTAGAAGGTGTGGAGATGGGCCTTATTAGATCAAAAGCCCAGGTATGGAACGGCCATGCGTTCGGATGCTATGCAGGTCTACAGCTGGAGCATGGATCAAATTTCTGTGTTTCTGACAAGTCTGGCACTTCTTCACGTGATGGGATGCATCTGACTCCATGGTCGGCAATAATACCCAAGGTGTATAAGTTGCTCGAAGAGCCGAGCCCCTCCTTGTGTTCAATTTTTTGGGCTCTTCCGAGGACTAGATTTGACTCCTCCTTGGAAAGACACCTCAGGGGAGTGCCCTCAATGCTTCTTCCGTAAAGCTTATTCTGATCAAGAAAGTACCGGCTTGCTCTCCTCTTGAGGTGTGTAATGTCCCTCGGGCTCTTAGGTAGTGTCCCCTCTCTGAGATAATCAATGTAAACTTGTCTCCAGTCAGGGGTATCAATTTCAAAACAACTCTCATCCTCCCAGATGTATGACTGACACTTGGGGCATTCTTTCTGTAGTTGGTTCGAGGCCTTCTCCATCTCAGGCCAATAATAGCCTTGTCTTTGGATCTTTCTGTACAGACTGATATCCCTATCCCCGCACGATTTTTCATGAATCTATTGTAGTCGGAAGCTTGCTTCTTGTTGGTCAACACACCGGGCTAGGAATACGGTACCTCCTCGGAAGTAAAGTTCACCTTGAATTATTATGAATTGGGCATGCTTGGCCATAGTCAGTTTTCCAACTTTGCTTCTGAGTTGTTCGAGAACTCCTCCTCTCCAATCCTCCGGAACGTCTTTGTTTTCAGGTATTATTGAAGGTTCTGTTATCTTCTTGATAACAATTGTCGCCTCCTTCTCTGGAATGTCAACGCTTGCCCCTAATGTTGTGAGGGCATCTGAAAACTTGTTGTCGGAGCGAGGCACATGCTCTATTTCGACCTTCTGAAATTTGTCAAGAAGCCTTTGGACTGTTGTTCGATATGTGGCCAAGGCAGGCTCCTTTAAGACGAACTGTCCTAAAGCTTGCTTCACTATCAGCTTTGAGTCCCCCGGATCCGAATCTTCTTGATACTGTGCTTCTCAGCTGCTATTAAGCCTAAAATAAGAGCCTCATACTCGGCTTCGTTATTCGAACAATGGAAATCCAGTTTATAAGATAAATATAACTTTTCCCCACTTTTGCTTGTAAGGACTGTCCCGGTTCCTCCCTTCCTTCCGGCTGCTGCTCCGTCAAAGCTCAATGTCCAGAAGCTTTCCTCGGAAGCCATAGCTGTGTGCACCTCTCCTCTTAATTCTTCATTCACTGGTTCATAGTCACCACTTGGAAATTGGGCAAGGAGATCAGCTAAGGCTTGGCTTTTGATCGCCTTGGGGGCTACACATGTGATCTCGAATTCACCCAGTGCTAACAACCATCTTGCCACCTTCCCGGTTAGAGCAGGCTTACTGAGGAGGTATCGGATTGGATCACTTTTAGTAACAATCTGAATCTGGTGTGCTAAGAAGTAATGTCTGAGCTTTTGGGCGGTGAATACCAAAGCTAAACAATGTCTCTCTACCGGAGTATATCGGACTTCTGCTCCTCGAATCTTCCGGCTGATGTAATACACCGGGCGTTCTGCTCCATCTTCATCTTGGACCAATAATGCCCCTATGGACTTGGGGGTTGAAGTTAGGTACAACATTAAAGGTACCCTGGGCTGCGAGGGCTATCATGGTCTGAGGCGAGGTCAAGGCCGCCTTGATTCTCTCAAATGCCTTTTGGTGTTCTTGGTTCTACTCGAACTTGGCATCTCCTTTTAACAAAGAGCCGAAAGGGGCAGAGTTCTCTACAAGTGTTGGGATAAACTTTCGAATATAAGACACCTTCCCGAGGAACTTCTTTAACTCCTTCTGAGAGTGTGGGGGAGGCATTGCTCTGATAGATTTGACCTTGTCTTCATCTGCCTCGATACCATGCCTGTGTACAAGAAACCTGAGGAACTTCCCAGCCATCACCCCGAAAGCACATTTGAGAGGATTCATCATCATTTTGAATTTTTGGCACCTCTTGAATACCTTCTCAAGGTCTCGGAGATGGTCCTATTCTTTCTTAGATTTCACCACTAGATCATCAACATAATCTTCCACCTCATGATGGATCATGTCATGAAAGATTACAGTCATAGCCCTTTGGTAAGCTACTCCGGCATTCTTGAGTCCGAAAGGCATGACTGTATAGAAGAAGTTTCCGAAAGGTGTTCTAAAAGCGGTCTTTTCTACGTCCTTTTCAGCCATCTTAATTTGATTGTATCCGCTGAATCCATCCATGAATGAGAACATCTGGTGTCCCGAGGTGGTATGCACGAGGGTGTCAATGTGAGGTAAAGGGAATTCATCCTTCGGGCAAGATTTGTTCAAATCTCGAAAGTCTATACATACTCTGATTTGACCATTCTTCTTCTTTACTGGCACTATGTTTGCCAACCACGTGGGGTACTGTATTGGCCGGATGAAACCAGCCTGTTGAAGTTTTTCAATCTCCTCCTTTATCTTCTCTTCGAGATCTGAATGATATTTTCGAGCAGCTTGCTTAATTGGCTTGGAGTTTGGGAACACATCAAGATAATGAGAGACTAGGTCAGGATCTAGTCCGGGCATTTCTTTATATGACCAAGCAAACACATCTGAGTATCGGCTTATCAATTTTAACAACTGTTCCCGCTTCTCTGGCCTTGGAGCATCTTGTCCATCACTCAGATCTATTTCAATAAGTTGTTCGGGCTGAGGCTTCGGCCCATCTTGCATGCATTCTGGAGCCACTTCAGGCTTTATTACTATGTCATTGTCATGAGGCTCTTCTTTTGACTCGGAGTCGGTGACTGAAAAAACAGACTCCCCGCACCTTCATAAATAGTACACCATCTTGCCCCCTTCTCGGATTTTCATCACCTTCCGAGGAATAGGCGGACTTTCTAGTCTAGAGATCGCCCGTTTACTTGATTCTGCCCCTGGCTCTTTGTCATCTTTGATATCCTCCCAACGAGGAATTTTGACCCCCCGAGGCTTAGAGGTGGTGGGAACTTCTTCGGCAGCCAGTTCGGTGAAGTAGATGGCATCAGAATAATGAGCTTCATGGATCTCAAAAGGGCTTTCTGTAGCCTGAATTGTCACCGTCTTCTTTCCCCATTTAGCCTTAACACACTGATGCTAACTTGATGGTACAGCCCCATATCTATGCATCCAGGTCCTCCCTAGAATGATGTGATAATTTGCCTCAGAATCGATAATATGGAACTTGGTGGCCGAGCGAATCTCTCCGACGGCTAAATCAACTGTTACGCATCCAATAGTAACTCTCATTTCTCCACCGAAGCCAGTGATGACTATCGGCTGCTTCACAATGCGTTCTTCAGAGATTCTGGCCTTTTCTAGAGTAGCGCGAGTCATAATGTTGATAGAGGCTCCACTATCTAGAAAGGCCGTTTTGAACTCAACCCCGTTAATAAAAGCAGTCACATAAAGCGGGCAATTGTGAGAAAAAGGATACTTCCGATCAGCCTCGGAGAAAGTAATGGCACTAGATTGCTCTTTTGCCTTCCTCGGGATAGATCCCTCAGTCGACATGCATTCCTTATGTGTGCTTCTGCTATATTAATGATAGACTTAGTGATTTCTGTTCTTGCCTCCCTGGAAAGTCCAAGCTGGTCGAAGAATTGCTTGAACTTTACACAGTCTTGCAAGGTTTTGGCATAGTGATCCGAATCTTTGTCCACTCTTGGAAGCTCGTAGTTAACCATCTCCTCGGTCTCTTCAAAATAAGATGCCACATAAACATGGTGTCCTCCTCTTCCGTAGTACTCTTCTCCTCCTTCTGGATCAAAGGGATCTTCGCCATGAGTCATAAATGTTCTGCCCTCTGGATCGAGAGCACTTCCATAGTAAACTTGCTCACCCTCAGGCTCAAGGATGTCGTCCAGATAATAATCATCGTCATCGAGATTGGCGATAGCCTCAATCATCGGGTCTTCATAAGCTATCATAGCAACATTCTTTCCCTTGTCTCGGTGTTGAGGATATGGTTATTCTCGGATATCTTGAGTCCCTTGCTTTCTGAACCTCAATTCGTCTGCCTCAACTTTATCTCTGAAGATTTTCCTGAGAGTCCAACACTTCTCTGTCGGATGTTTCAATGTACGATGGTAGACACAAAATTCAGGGCTCCACGGTCCTATTTTGATGGCATTTCTTCGACATAAGGCAATTTTAGCTCTCCGTCGGCCTCCCATTCCTTAACTAGAGCTTTTACTTCCTCGATTCCACATGGATAAGAAACATTCCCCTTTCACCATTATATTGCTTTCTCTTCTGGCCTCTATGACCTCCTCCTTGTGACTTTCGGGTATCTGGGGCAGAGGCAACAACAACAATAGGTCCACGAGACGATTTGAAGCTAGTCTTGTAACTGGCCTTAAATCCGGACTCCTAAGCCTGAGGAATGCTAATGTTCCGAGCTGCTTCTATTAATGCCGAGAAGGTGGGTAGTTTGTGGTTAACTAGAAACATTTTGTACCTGCTCAATGCCCCTTCTAGACAAATTTGAACCAGATAACTCTCCTCAACTGCTTCATGACAATCCACGGCCTTGTCCTGAAACCTTTTAACGTAGTCAATGATGTCTTCACTTTCTTGTTGCTTCTCTTTACACAATGTAAGTGTGGTCACCTTCTCCGCCACTTGAAAGAACTTGGAGTGGAATTTGTTAACCATTTCCTCCCAACTTCGGACAGAGTTTGGGGCCAAATTAACATACCAACTATATGCTCAGTCGGTGAGGGACTTAGAGAATTCTCTCAGCCGCTTCTCTGGGCTAAGGCTCGAACTTACGAATACCGGCCTCGGTGCATCTTGTCCATCACTCAAATCTACTTCAATAAGTTGTTCAGGCTGAGGCTTCGGCCCATCTTGCATACATTCTGGAGCCACTTCAGGCTTTATTACTATATCATTGTCAGGAGGCTCTTCTTTTGACTCGGAGTCGGTGACTGAAGAAACCGACTCCCCGCACCTTCATAAATAATACACCATCTTGCCTCCTTCTCGAACTTTAGTTCACCTTGAATAATTGTGAATTGGGCAAGCTTGGCCATAGTCAGTTTTCCAACTTTGCCCTCGAATGAAAAAAAAAAATGGAATTAAAGAATAAAAATAAAAAAGAAAAAGAATCTGCAGGCCAAAGAGATCTTAGATCAAATGCACAAAACCAAGTAAATCTTGTATCTGTTCCCTCAACCGAACAAAAAGATATTGAAGAAGATTATTCAGAATCACCTGTTGAGTATTTTGAAGTCCTTGAATGGCTTCAAGCAAAAGTGGTTGATCTGGAGCCATGGTCCTGTCATCACCACCATTAGAGGATCGTTGTTGATGAACTTCATCTTCTCCCGCCATCTTTGTTGGAGTTGTGTGGATTCCAGATCTCGTTGAGACCATTAACCAATCCGCCTCCCCAGCAGAGTCGCCAAATGTAGGAGAGGGTTCAAGAACATCGTTGGAAAATTCGAAGATCTTCGAAGACCCTTGAAGAACAACTTCGAATTCTCTAGAAGATAACGAGAGGCTTAGATTCTTCAATAGTCTCAACTTAAGAACACAAGAGTAAAGGAGATGATGGAGATAAGAGATTGAGTGAAGAAGAAGGCAAAATCACTAGAGAGAGAATAATGGCAAGGCTCTCCCATGGATCTCCCACTTTCACTCTCAAGGTTGATAATGGAAAAGGGAAATTAGTTCTTTCCCAAGCGTTAAAAATCTCCAAAATCCATCCCTTGTAAAGCTATGGGTGGGTGCTATTTATAGGCACCTCATGATATAGGATGGAGCCCATGTGCAAGGCACATGGGGAATATTCTCTCTAACCACCTTGTCCGAGGAAATGACCTCTCCGAGGATGAGGAAAACCCCGAAGAGGAGACCAACCTCTCGGCGAACCCTTCTTCTTAGCCACACCTAACCAATGATCCCCAATCATCCCAAAGGGTCAGGGGTAATCCAGAGGACGTCCTGCCACAAAATATTGCCGAGTCTCATGGACCCTCCGGAGTCGTGCCACCTCGACCCGGGTATAGGCTAGTTTAACCGAAGAGTGAATTTATCTCCACTCACCATCCTCGGGATCGGGTCCTTTGCTCGAACTCCATTACGCCCATGGTTCTGGTGCGTAGATCCCGGAAAGCTCCAAGCCCGCAAGTGTTCTAGGACTCATTAACGGAGCGACTTCTAGATTGCGTTTGAATCTGTTCGAAGCCAAGTGCTTCGGATCTCTAGGTTCGTGGATCCGAACCCTTTCGAGTCCGAGCTCGAGTAAGTCTCTAAGTTCGTGGATCCGAACCCTTTCGAAGCTTAGAGCGATTCAGCCCGTTTGATGATGATAAATCTGAACCCACCAATCTTGGACTTGCGATAAATTTGGGCCCACCAACCTTCGACTATTGGGCCTAATTAATTTAGTGGGCCCAAATTAGCTCATCTTACAATACTTTTAATCTTTTTTGATAAAGGATGACACTAAAAAGAGTATGGATAGGAGATGGTTTTCTTTCATAAAAAATGGTACGGATAGGAGATGGTTTTTAGGATAAGTTTGGAATTTTTTTGAAAAGATTTGAAAATGTGAAGAGAGTAAGGATTGGAGTATTCATATCAG